TAGTACATTATTGTATTTATTAAATGCGTACTTTAATTTTAGGATCATTGTTACGGTTTGCTTAAACAATACATTTATTGATCTGTTAAACCTTTTCCAGATAATCAACAGTTAACCTTTGGTTTACATTCTTACTTTTATGAATTTTCATCAAATTATCTAATTTATTACCTTCAACAAGACTAGGAAAAGCTCACTCTCTAAATGAGAAAGGACAAGTGTCTATCCAATACTGTTTCCTCTTTCTCTTTATAATATGGGTTGAACGGGAAGTGTTATATATTCTTCAACGCATAGCTTTTTTCTTTCTTTCAGAGATGGAAACATGATACCACCCAGCAGTAAATGAAAGATGTTTAGTCCTTGGTGGATCAAAGTTGAAGTGTTCAAATCTTGCATCAGTTTTAGATTTTCTCCCAACCAGCATATTAACATTTTAGTCAACAGCTTATGCTTCTTAATATTTCTCAACACCCTAAGAGTGGCATCTAGTGGTAGGATGCCCTCATATCCCTAACCTCCACATTGCTACAGACATGGACAATTTTCACTCGATTGAAAGGTTACAAGCATAAACCCTTCATAGAACCATGCATGCTCTTCCTACCATTTACGTTTTGATTTAGTTTGTCACGAACGATTGATTTAGGTTAGTCAACACATACATCTCACATAGAGTTGAAGAAAAATAACATTCATTTCACTAAGCAAAACAGGGAAGAATTGTGAAGCACTGTATGCAACTATCATGAAAAAAATTAGAAAGGGAAGATAATTGAACTGAGGAACTGGAAAAATCTAGTAATCTGAGCCATTGATAGTAGACACTGAATACATAGTAGTGATGGAAATCTCATTGTTTTGGTAGTTTCCAGAAAACTAAAATAGAACTCTGTTGTATACATGTGATCCATCCATTCTGATTTCTGAAGGTGGTTAGAAGACCTTAAACTGGTATTTGGCTTTAGTTGACATTAAAATGACTCCAATAGAACACAGAAATTAATTAGAAAGAAAATACCTAGGATCTTACGTGTTTTGTAGGCAAATTTCATAAGAAAAGCATGGTTTTGTAGCAGTTAAGACAGAATCAACCTAGATTACCGGATCAGTTTGCAACGTTCATCTGTAGCTGTAAAAGGACCATTTAGCACCAAGAAGGTAGCTGAGCTATTATGGCCTCCTATGGAAGATTCAGAGGACAAAGCAGGCCAGGAGTCAGGGAAATTTTCTTACCTTAGTTGATTATCAGATTGTTCATAGCTTTTGCTTAATTTAGTCCTGGTTTAATTAAAGGCTTAAGAGATTGGATAGCCATGTCTGAAATGGTATATGATTTCCTGCTTAAGCAGGGGTTGAACTAGAAGACCTCCAATGGGTTCCTTCCAAATCTTTTATGTCTATTTTCCAGTTGTTCTTTGGCTAGAAAAAAGACATAGCAAGACATATTTATCTACCAAATATAGCAGTTGCTCGGTGGGAAATGGACATGACCTCTCACTATGTTGAATAATGACTTTCTTTAAAATGAAATAAACCGAGATAGGTACAGGTAATTCTTGATTTATGACTAATTGAGGGGGAATTATGGTTGTAAAGCATTGTAGTCATTAAATGGGATCATCATGTGACATTACCCAATTTTACGATCAAAACCAAGTTCCTTTACTTATAACCTCAGCAGCAAGTTGTCACCCAGGATTCCTGGATCTATGAGACCCACTGCAAGTTAACTTGCATACACTTTAAAAACTTCTATTCAAACATGACCAGAATAATCACTACCTCTTATCAAACAGGGCAAGATAATATTCCCTGTGCCCAGTTCTAAGGAAATAGAAGTGGTGGGAATACAGGGACAAATAAAGGTCCTTCGTTATCTCTAAATGGGCAAGTTACATTTTAGAAAACCAAAGTAATACATTAGTGTGCAAGTCAGCATATTCTAGGATAAGGAAGCAGTCTTATGTTAAGACTGTAAGAGTATGAAGTGTCATACATATGTGCAAACTATGTGGTTTTATGCAAGCAAAAACATAAAGAATTAAAAATGGACACATTATGCTATTTCTAAGTATTATAACCATTCCGCTATGTGAAAATCCAGTGGTTATTATTGAATAAAATCTTATTTACATCTGTTGGTCTCTTCAACTCATTGGACATAGATTTATTATTCTAGAAATAAACAGAAGGTATAAACTTGGTTACTTTGTGTAAACTAAATTTCCTTTTCTCTTTCCTGTTTTAAATTACATTTACTCATTTCTTCCACTGTTAGCTGACCACAAAGAATAGGAAAAGTTTTTGTCTTTGTGCCATCTTGTGGCTGTTCAGATTTTTGCAAGATAGTTCAACTATTTATCCTGCTATCTAAAACTGTTTTGGCTTTTGCTCCTGGTGAAACAAAGAACATGAAAATTTGTTTTGTTTGGTTCTCTCAAAATGTAATTGATCTTTGATTTGACAGAATTTTGGGACACAATTTCTTCAATAAAAAATATTTTTCATTTCACACACACACCCCTCCCAAAGCAAGTGGTTTGAGTCTGTTCTCTGCCTGTAGCTTTATTGGTTCTTCATGGGCCCCTGCATACATGTACATCTTTATGCTGAAGCTTAAATATCTTCCCATCACCAAATGACTGTATGAAATAAAAACCAAAACCAACCCCCACAGCCACAACAAATGTAACCCAATAACAAAGATGCAACTTAGAAAACTAGAATAAAATGTATTCCAAGCATATCTCATCAAGCCTAAACTGATGGTTAGATTTCTATCATATTTGTCCTTCAAAAACTAAAGGCATTCCAAAGTCCAAACCCCATGACAACTGATATAGGTCAGTGATGGCTAACCTTTTTGTCGTGTGCCAAAAGTGCGCGTGCCGGCATCTGTAATGGAATACATTACACCCCCTTACACATGCGCACGCGTCTCCCACGTGCCCCACTCCCGCGCATACATGGCAGATACCTAAAAATCAGCTGGTGGGAAGTGCATGCGCAGGCACAGTGGAACTGAGTTCGGGCAACGGCTCATTTGCTGGCAACGATGGCTCTCTGTGCCATAGGTTCGCCATCAAGGATATGGGTTAATTGTAAAATTGTGACTGGCAAAAAGTCATCCCAGTAAGCTTCCATGATTGAGATGAATTTGAACTCCTTCTGATCAATGACTAATATACCACTCAGGTATTACATTACAAAACCCAATGTGATTGGAATTTTCCAGATCAACCTACTTATTACAAATATTGAGCCTGACATAAACGATATTTTTTGTCTAAACTATAAAATGCAGCATAATAAACATGATGGCCATTTTTTTAGGAGCAATGTTTGTTTATTATCTTAACAGCAAAATAAAATTTATGATCTGGGTCTCTCCTTTTTGCCTTTGTACAAGGCTAACAAGGAAACGTTTGCCACTTTGACAACCTTGAAACGAACTCCAGGAATGTCACCAACAGCGTGTCCTTTTCGACCAAAGCCAGCAACTAGAACCTCATCGTTCTCCTAGAATTTTAATGAACAAATAACAGTTAATGTCATTCAATTAAAATTTAATAAATATCTACACAACCTTGACTCTTATGAAGACTCATTTTGCCACATAAACAAAATCTATTACTTATTTTTAAAAGTTGAGAAGCAACACAGGGAAAGAACAGGGAAAAAGAAAACCCTAATTTCCTGAAGTGTCTTTCTTTTCTTGAGAAAAATCTGAATACTAGAAACCAAGTTCATGGTCCAAATAGATCTCCCAATAATTGTCCACAATACTAAGCCCCAGAAAATGTTTTATTTCAGGGTCCATCATTCCCCTTCATATACAGTCAGTTAGTGATTTTTCTTGTTTGATTTTATCCTCTTTATAGGTATATATGCAGGATGTATTGTAGGTTTGTATGTGTAGAAGAAAGGAAAGAAGATTAGTTGATCCTTGTACTTTTCTAAGTAGGACATTTTTTAGTTAAGTGTCTTTGAGACCCTTCTGTAAAAAAGTTATAAAGAATTTGAGTCCCAATTATTGTGAGAACACATTGCTATTTCCTTACTGTTATATAGATATCAATTAATTATTTACCTCAATGAAGTTCAAACAACCATCATTGGGAACAAAAGCAGTTATTTTCTTCCCATTCTTGATGAGCTGGACTCGGACACATTTTCTAATAGCAGAATTTGGCTGCTTAGCCTCTACACCACTAAAATGAAAATAACGAATGTATGTTTAATTTTTTTCCATCACAAGCTACACATCTTCTTGGCTAGGATAGAAAAAAATATTTAATAAAGGCAAAAACCAAAAACCATTTTAGACATGTTTTTTTAAAGTTCAGAACATTCCAGCTAGCATAAAGGGGAAAAGATTTTTGCAGATTTCTTCTCGTCATCTTCCAATGTTTCAGACAGCTCCTCAAACTTCTGGAGCAATTTTTTAAAGAAGGAGAGCACACAGAACTGCAGCAGAAACTGCTATATTTTTCATTCCTTTCATGAGATTTTCTGACAGATCAAAAGTATCCTAACTGAATGAAGATTTCTGTCTTTGTAAAACTGAGATTAGTTTAAGCCCTCCTACTGATGGGCTGCATACAAGAAAAAACTGAAATTCACTAAGTTAAGTAACCAAATGCCAATTCCATATTTTTCAAATAAAAACAATAAGGATGGAAACCCAATGTCTCACTTATGACACAAATAGTGAATTGCAAACCAGACAGAAGAAGCATGTCCATGGAACAAGTAATGCCTAATGTAGTTTAAGTCTTCAACAGAAAAACTAATATCAAATATCCCCAATATTTGCTTAAGTACTAGTAACAGGAATGTATTAGAAATGTTATTCAGCCACATAACTGCACTTAATCAATCTATCAGTTCTGCTAAACAGTACAATGCACTTTTTAAAAGAAACAGGGTAAATCTCTTCAGTCAAAATTAACATTCAAAACTTACACTTTTTCCAGAACAATTCCCTTGGCATGAGAAGCTCCCCCAAAAGGATTGGCTTTCAAAGCAGTACCCAAATGGGCCTTCTTATATTGCTTGTCATGCCACTTCTGTTCACGACGGTGACTGCGTAGCTTCCTGGCTGTACGAAGTCCGCGACACTTGCCTAGAAAATGGTGTGATAAAAGTTATTAGGAATTACAATTAAGTATGTAGAATTGGACCTTCATCCATTTTCCATATTTCCATACATAACATTCCATATTAAATAAGATTTATAAGATACATCTTTTTAATCTACTCAAACCTGCACTAAAATTTTGCACATTACTTTCCAATACTACATCCAGGAATTTTTTTTGCACAAATTTAAGCAACCTCTTATACCAAAAATGGTATTTTATGCAAAAGTCTTATAAACAAAATTTGGAAGTTCCTATGCTTCAATATCTCATGTTGCCCTCTGTGTATGTATGCACACAAATGCACACAATGTATTTTAATGTATTTTAGTTCCAATCTGGTTTCCTTTCTTCATAACATATTCTCAATTTATTTTAATTTTCTTTTTTATTTACAATCGGTAGTAATAAATGGAAATTTATATCATTGTTCATTGCTGAAAAAATGGAAATTTAAACATTAAAATTAGAGAAGACTTGAGTTTTCTAAGCAAAGCAAATGACGTAAGTCAAATATGATATAAAATCAATTAATTCTTTACTCTGACCACCCTTCCAAAGCAAGATGGGGGGAATTCCAAAATCCATAACCCAAAGCCAGATCTTTATGTAACCAGTTCATAACCCCCATTTCTAGATATTTATACTTTTTTTTTTTTTTTTCAAAAATTTGTATGTATAGACTTTTAATCCCAGAATTCTCAGAAGTGGTCATGCTGGCTACAGGCTCATATCAACACAACAAAGTTACCACAGATGGGAAACACTGCCCTAGAATAGAGGTCCCCAAACTTGGCAACTTTAAGACTTGTGGACTTCAACTCCCAGAATTTTGGGAGTTGAAGTCCACAAGTCTTAAAGTTGCCAAGCTTGGAGACCTCTGCCCTAGAATGTATTTTCAACGCCTTGCTCTTCAAGCCCATTACGTTCGAACTCCCATATTCCCCAGCAAGCAAAAACTCTGGCGACACTTATTGAGGGAAGATGGGATTTGGACTTCAACGCATCCTTGGAAACGCAGATTAGGAAAAATAAGAAATTGGTTACAACAAATTACAAAACACCAAATTGAACTGAAATCTGAACTATTCCTATTAGGAATAATTAAAGGAGAGTTTAGCAAAAAAGACTAAATATATCATATTACATATAGCAACAGAAGCCAGGATTGCTTTTGCAGTGTTGGAAATGGGATAGTATTACTGTCTGAGAAAGTGTTGGAATGTGCTGAAATGGACAAACTCACTGTTAGATTTAAAACAGTCAAGTGGGAGAGGATGGGTGATAAGGAGTTAATCTTCTCACCACTCCTTACCACCCATCCCCTCCCACTTGACTGTTTCCTAGTATGATTTGATTGTTGATTGTACCCTATGACTATCATTAAGTGTTGTACGTTATGATTCTTGATTCTTAACGAATGTACCTTTTCTTTATGTATACTGAGAGTATTTACACCAAGACAAATTCCTTGTGTGTCCAATCACACTTGGCCAATAAAGTATTCTATTCTATTCTATTCTACAAGGCGAAGAATCAGAATATTATGAGGTTTGGGACAAATGGTACAATTGGTTAAAAAGTAGAAACAAGGATTAAGGTTTATAATACTATTACTGTTAATCTTCTCATCACCCATCCCTCCCACTTGTGACTGTATGACTGTAACTTTGTTGCTTATATCCTTACGATTTATAAGGACTGTTCCTAGTATGATTTGATTGCTTATTGTACCCTATGACTATTATTAAGTGTTGTACCTTATAATTCTTCTATGTGAAAATTAAGGAAAATATGTGATACCTTAAACAATGTATCTTTTCTTTTATGTATACTGAGAGTATTTGCACTAAGACAAATTCCTTGTGTGTCCAATCACACTTGGTCAAGAAAGAATTCTATTCTATGCCAATGTGTAGATGCTTATATATGTAACAGTGATGCCACAGTGCTATCAAAATGGTTAAATTTGTGTGTAAACTGAAAAAGCATAATAAAAATTAAATTAAAAAAGAAAGAAACGCAGGTTAGGAAATGTACTCCCAAAAGATCCCGAGAATTAGGCCATCCCGTCTGGGCGAAATATTTTAAATAATATCATCGCTGTCATCTCGTATCAGGGAGCTCTGTGGCTTAACAACACGAGGAAGGACTAACGTTAGGATCACACAAGGAGGGCCTCGTGGTCCTTTAAAAAAGCTTGAGCGACGATCTCTCTAGGCGGACGAGGGGGGGGAAGGAGGCTGTTTGTCCCGCCCGCCAAGAGCCCTCAGCCACCCTGTAGTCCATTCTCCTCTCCCCTTCTTCAGTCACAGCGCGACGCCCAGACCCGGAGCACCTCACCCATCGTGTCGTCCGCGGATCCCGAAGAGGAAAAAGAAAGACCCAGAATGCACCGGCTTCGAGGACCCCCTTCTTCTCGGGAAAAGGCTGTCTAACCGAGAGCCTGTTCCAAAGCTTCAAAGGAAGATGGTTGATGAAGCGCGGTGCATTGTGGGGAAATTCAGTTGGCAGCCGCTCCTTTTATGACGAGAGCCTCACTCTCTCTCAAGCATTAGAAACAGTACGCTTCCAATCCCCCCTTTGAAAGATTATAGCCTGGCTAGGCCGGATTTCTTTGCGAAGAAAGAAATCCAGATTTTGTGGGAAAGTGTGTGTGTGTGTGTGTATCTTTGAGGCGTCTCTAATTTATTAAGATCACATGTCAGCGGTATGGTAATTTTTCTTCCCCCTCCGCTCAGCCCCCACTCCAACGATATCGTTCGCCCCCCTTTTTTTTTCTCTTAGTAGAAGATAGTATAAAATCCGGAGAGGCAGGCACCCTATTTACGTGGGGTCTTTCCCACCGTCACGTAGATCTGCCGCAAAGGATGGTGGGTCTTTTTTGTCGTCTTTCGGCTTCAGTGGCGGCAGCGCGATGGGTGAGCGGGACCGTAACTTTTGGGGCGCCCGGTATAAGCGGTCCTTCTATGTCTGGTTGTCTGCATTGGGGGAGGGGGGGAGCCGGGACGCTTTAGGGAAAATTAATACTTCATTTGGCTGGTGTCCCAAAGATACGTGTACATATATAATCCGTGTGTGTGTGTGTATGTATGTATGTGTATATGTATAATCGACTCAGCTTTATTGTCTGCCTCGATGCTGCTCTCTTCGGTCAGATTTGAATGGAAGGATTTATATTCCTTTGCATCCTTTTAGAGGGTCGGTGAAGCACTTGGAGGAATATAAATCCTTCCGTTCCCCACTGTCCTGACAGCTGAAGAAGCTTCTTGGATAAGAAGCAAAACATCTTCAAAGAATAAGTAAAGTCCAGTTACCTCCTTGAAAAAGCACCTTTGGGATAAAGTGTCAATCGTTTGCAGAGGTTTCCTTTGACTCTGGCTTGATTTCCCTGCATGCGCCTTTTCAGTTTCCTGCCGGGGCTCAGAGGGAGGTTTCTGTGGCTTTTGACCACTTTTTAAAACTTTTAAAATTTAGTTTGCAACCTCAAGGAATTCTATCTGTTAACTAATGACTGCAAGGAGGTTTTGTTTGTCACCACAGTGTCACTATAAGATCATCGATGGACCCCAGAATATAAATTGTGAAACACCCCCCCCCCCCCAATAAAAATCAGTATTGAAGACTTATTGAAATGAGACCCTTAGGATGAAATCCAGAGAAAATCCCTCTTTTGATGTCTAAATTTTCTTTTTTAGGCAAGTGCCGTGGACTTCGTACAGCCAGGAAGCTGCGCAGTCACCGCCGAGAACAGAAGTGGCATGACAAGCAATATAAGAAGGCCCATCTGGGTACTGCTCTGAAAGCCAACCCTTTTGGGGGAGCTTCCCATGCTAAAGGAATTGTTCTGGAGAAAGTGTAAGTGAAATCCCCCCATTATTAACTAGAGAAACTATGGGATGTAGTAGCCACCCAAAAGCAGTGTGGAATTCTTTATAATTGGACTTTTGCTGTTAGAGGTGCCTGGGTACCTCCGATTCTCCATAGGAATTATAGCCTTAGGGAGAAGATTTGTATTGATTGTTGGAAGTGAATATTTTAGAACAGAATGGATAGAATAGAATAGAATAGAATAGAATAGAATAGAATAGAATAGAATAGAATA